ACCAAAACTAAAAATACACTCCTTTTGAGAATAGGCCCACTACAACTACCTATTCTCAAGCTACAAAACCATATAAAAAAAGTTCCAATTAAGTCAAGTATTACAAAGAAAAATTGGCTAGAAAGGTGGGGCTTGAAAAACCAAGATTTAGAAAATAACAGCTCTTTTACTTAACACAAACTCTAAATAATAGCCCCACTACAACTAGTAAACAATAACCTATCAGTACAATAAAAAATGTTGGCCTAATTCAACAGAGTTAAGCTAAAAAAGTGGCTTGAGTGAAATGTACACAACAAGTAGGCTATGACATCCATTGTAGAACTAAAATATGCACTCAAACTATCGTTTATGAGCATTATTTCAATATATATAGGCTTTGCAAAGTCCTCTAAGGGATCATTCAGCTACTTTAACAAACGAATAGGCTACTGTGATTGTTTTACTTACCCTGGCAGCCATGAATGCAGCGAAACAAGGGTGAGGACAGCCGGATGTGACGTTTATGACGTTTCCTTATGGGATTTTATATGTGTGCATAGAGGAGTTTCGTATCCAGGGGTATATAGTATCTATGCTTTTTAGCACAATTTTTTGGTAGCGAAGGTTATTGTAATAAAGTAGTGGGTGGTGTAGCTCCAACACTGACTTCTGTAGTGGTAATAGTACTAGTAGTAGTATTAGTAGAGGAAGTAGAAGAATAGGGTGATGGAGAATGAGCAACAATTGACTGTACATCAACTGTAGCTGTAAAAAACTGTAGCTGTATCAACCACAAGAGTAGACTGAGACTCATGATCATCAACTCTCAGCAAGAAACTGACCTAAAGTAAGAATTATGAGATAATCTGTATTATTGACTTCTATACTGTACTTACTAGGTTCACTTTGTAAACTGTTGTTCCTTTTTAGCAGGCTTGTTCACAAAGGACATAGTGAAGCTAGTCCAGGCTTTTAGACATTGCAACTGACAAGAAAAGAACACTGAAATAGCACTAAATAATGAAATGATTATGCTTTCTAGTGTTGCTGTGGTGGCCCACTGTGATTGGCACCAAAGTCTTACCACCTCGAGCTCCTCCTTTATTTAGTCTCTCTTCATCACCTTGTTATCAGCCTGCCATTTATGCATTCATAATTATAAGATTTTCATAAAAAATTGAAATTATAATTGCAATAACTGTTATTAACTATTAATTAACCATAAAATAACTATTAATTATGGTGATGTCACACTTCCGGTCAGAATTTTTGGTCGGGCATTGCCCCTAAATGCCCGACCCTGCAGCCGCCTATGATACTGTGACCTGTCATTTAGGAAAAGGAGAGCATGTAACCAGTGTTATGCATCGGAGTAAGCCACCTGAAGATGATGATAATGATGACGATGACGTTGAAAACTGCACCTCTGAATCTGATTATGACTCACATTCACTACAGCCTAGTTTTGAATCTGCACTAGATATGCCAACTAGCACTCATTGGGATGAGCTGCCATCTCATCATTCCATAAAGCAAAGAGCTGCTGAAGAAGCTTGGAAAGGAGTAAGGCATGCTTTGAGATGTGCTGTAGTGCAGAGTAATTGTATGCCACCTCATCAAATGTGTGTTCTTTGCCAGCAACAAGAAGCCTCATTTCGTTGTAATGACTGCAGTGCTTTTGCATACTACTGTTCTTCATGCCTTCAAAATGTTCATGATACTACATGTGTACTACATACTCCTGAAGAGTGGAAGGTACATAAGCCTATACCATTTCATATGTATTTTTTAGTAGTAATATGGTTTTAAAATTACTATAGGATGGTACATTTTCCCCCGTTAATTGTGTGACATCACTAGATATACGTCATTTGTCGTGT